TGCCTGCCCAGACAGGTGTTTGGGAACTGCTGAGGCTGCACTCTTGAGCATTAGTTAGGCAGGTGGATGCACATCCTGAAAACCCTGCTGCCTGTCTGCGTGCCTGCTCCTTTGAACGACACCCACAGTGGCTGCTGGCTCCAGCAGCACTGCCAGCCACATTTCCCCACGCATGAAAGGCTCCTGGACTGTTTCTCAGACTTATTAGGCACAAATGGGCTTTTCAGTGACACCAGTCATGTGTGCCTGCTCCCTCCACCTCGTTTATCTTCTCCTGCCAAGGCTCTGTGCCCACTGCCAGCACCACACCGTGCCTCATTCCCCTGTGTAAAAGCAGGGCCACAGCACCAACTGCTCTGTCACCTTACCTACAGAAGGGCAGGAGAAAGGCAGGGGAAGGTACATCATCAGAAACCTCTGGAGTACACTGATCAGTTGGCAGTGGGATGCTTTCTCCAAATCTCCTTTGAAAAGCAGAGTTGAGGCTGCAACTCGGGGATGGTCAAGTGGTTGGGAGCAGGATTTGTCTTCAGGTAGTAAAAGAATTTAGCAGAATTGGTTTGTTCATGATGGTGAATAATGGTACATCCAAACAGGATCTGGGAAACCCAGGAATTTGAAAGAGAGAGTAAAAGAGCTAGGGGAGAATGTAACACTGGTGATATGTGGGTTGTAGAAAGACAGGAGGCAATGGCAGGGCTGGGCAGGCTTCTGGGAAAGCAAGCAGGGACAGAAGAGTTGGGGACTGGGGACATGGCAAAGCAGCAGGGGGTAGAAGGCTCAGGCTGACAGGTGAAGGGTAAGTGCTGGGAGCGTGGTGACAACAAGGGAGCACATACAAGTGTGCTGGAGAAGGCTGGTGCTGCTTCCAAGCCACTGGAGCCTCTCCTTGCTGCAGCCATGTGTGTCCCAGCTGCTTACACTGAAGCCTGACTGGTGGTAATGAAAAGCCCACACATGGCCAGGATCCATCTGATGGCTGCACTGCCTGGCCAAGGCCTTGCAAGAACCCCTGGCTGGGGCTGTAACAGCCCTGCTGTGCTGCTCCCTTCTGCTGTGACCCAAAAGAAAGCTCCTTTTCCACTTGTTTGCTCTCCACCAAGGTGAGCTGGAAAGATGGTGCTGGTCAGTGCCCAGGGCTCTTCAGGAATGGAAATGGCTGAATTAGCTGGAACTAATTGAAAACACACAAAGAGCAGCAGGATTTACTGCCTGGTCATTTAATCCTACCACTTTGGACTGACCCACTTGAAGTCACCACATGTGACAAAATCACCAAGTGATGAGGACAGGATTAGAGCCCCAAATGAGATTATGCTCCCTGGTAGGGATGTGAGCTGCTGGGGGCAGGGAAAAGATCTGTGCTGAGCACCTAGCAGGGGCAATAAACCAGATATCCAACATTCTGTTTGCCTAGTGAGCATCAAAAATAGACTCTGTGGAGAGAGAAAACACCCAAGTGAGCCAGCTGGGCAGACCCAGGGTGCTTGGGACATTGACAGCTCCTCAGCCTGTCAAATGAACTGGCACAGGTTTGTGCCAGCATTAGCACAAATGTGGCTTCAAAACAAAACAGAGCAGGGGCAGGGAGCAGGAGGATGGGGAAGGACAGGCCTGCAGTTGGCTAACTGAAACCATAGGACATTTAAGACAGAAAAGGGAAAGGGACAGGGGATCAGAGATAGGGAAGGTGTGGCTGGGCACAGCTTGCAGCATCTTAGCCTGCAGTAAATATATAAGCAGCAGCCTGTCACGCACAAATGGTAATCAGAGAGCCAGACATATTGTGATGCACAAATAAAAAGATGATGGATAAATAAGATGGATTTAAAAATATGATGGACAAAAAGAATGGATTAAAAAAATATGATGGATGAAAAGAATTAAAAGATAGGCCTTGTCCAAAGATCTTATCATGAAAGACAAAAGACCATGATGGATCACAGCTCAGACAGAGAGGACAGGGCTAAGCACAGCATGAGATGTTCTCCAGGTATAGAAGCCTTTAGATTTCAGCTAATTTACTGAAAACAGGTCTATACAGAGTCCCTTTTCAGCCCAGCAGCTCACTGTGTATTGCCACTACACGATTTACAAAGTCTGAGGGTCCATTTCTGCATACAAAAGCATCTTTTCCTCACCTAGTGAGGTGAAGCAATAAATAATCCTCACATTCACTTGCTGGTAAAGCCATGTTTTCCATGGAAGCTGCAGAGGAGCTCAGTGCTTCTGAATAAATCATCATCTCTATAGGTTCCAATTTTAACACAATCCTTTAAAGGCTGAAACCAAATGAACAGCTCACTTTCCCATCTACACTAAATGCTTATCACAGACTAGCTGGATACCCTTAAATCTTGGCAGTGGGAAAGCCACGATAAGCCTTAGAAATAATATTCTCTTTCCTCCTTCCGTGGAAACTTCCCCCTAAGGACAGCACTGCAGTCTGGCCTGGCATCTGTCTGCTCAAAGTGTTTTCCAGATAATTAGTCATTTAAACTTCTCTCACACAGGATAATCTGGCTCAGTTATACCTTCTCAAGTGAGCAAATAAAGGCGTTGACATGCAGTAGACAGCAGCTGAAAACCAGGGCAACAGAAAGAGTTCCCACCCCTGTCTGTTGTGTGACTCTTCTCTGGGAAACAACTCTGTCCACGGCAGCAGGGACAGCTAGGTGGACACAGTCCACACCCACCCAATCACATCCTGAATACCTGGGGAGCCGCAGCTCAGCACAGCAGGCTGTAATTCACACCGGGCAGCTCTCCCTGCCACAGCACAGGCACATTCCGTCTCACAAGGGCAAGGGACAGAAGCTGCTTTAACCATTCCTGGATATTACACTGGGAACGGATTGGAGTGTAGTTCCATGAACAGCACAGATAATCTGTCTGCTTCCCAAGATCAGGAAGGGATGATCTTGCTTTCCTTTCCTCTGGCCATGCTCCTCACAATGCAGTTCAATCCCTTTTCTTATGCTGGTTCAGGCACTCAAAATATGTTTGTGGGCTCAAAAGAACATACTCCTTTCTTTTTCTTTCGGGATTAACTTTCTGACAGATTAGAGATAACCTGAGGAGGTCCAGAATGCTGGTGCACGCTGGGAGCTGGAGCACGACCCCGTTTTGGAGGAGGAGAGCTGTCAGATAGACTCCCACTCTGTTGGATCTGCACCCCGAGGCACACAGAAATAAGCAACTTGCTGGAGGCCACAAGCCAAAGTAGTGAAGGAAGCCAGGGGTCCTATTTTTTCCTCATACATTCAGAGTAATTTAAATGTCAAGACTGAGGAAATACTTGAACAGTCCTTGCTTTGTTGTAAAAATCAATCTATCTATTCAATAACAACTTCTCAATCTTATTAACAGATCATTTTCCCCTCCCCAAAGTAGCAGGCAGGAAAGACTCTTCTGGCCAATTTACAGGTTGCAATATCTTAACACATTTCTCTCAAGTTGTGTTGGCAGATGTGCAGTACAGTAATACCACACGAGTCACAGAGTTGTTTTCTTCCACCACTGAATGAGGAGTTTCATCAACTATGAAAAACAACAGCTTCCTTGTACCGTGGAGACTCTTCCCTCTTTTCCCCATTGCCACATTTCAAGGCAGAGAGATTCTTAAGAAAAACACCAGAAAAGTGGAACAGTGGGAAGGAAAACTGTGGTGCTGACTGTTCATTCCACTTGAACAGCTGATGCAGACACTGTTGCAGTCCTGATGGAGGAACAGGTTGGCACTGTGGGTTTCGGTTACTGTTGAGCTTCTCATATTCAGGAGCTACCTAGACAGGAGCCAGAATTCCTTTGGGATTCACACGTAGTTTCTCACTGTGTCCTAAAAGCAGCTCTAGCACAGACAGTCTGCAGCACACACTGTAGGAAGGGGCTCAGAGCAAAGGCAGTGCTGGCAAAACTGGCATTCCTAGAACCTATTTATGTCCCCAGTGTGACTTCTTCAGGTTTACATGGCAGCAGCAAATTGTTAAGTGCCCTGGAGGCATCAAACATTTTATTTCATTGGGCATAAGATGCACAGCACTGCCCTAGCTCCATGTTTATCCCAGGTTTCAGTCCAGATTTTGGTTTATCTCACAGTCCTTGGGTTAGAAGAGTGTCCCTACTGAAGAACAACAGTTCAGCAGAAGACAAGCCTGACAACATAGTCTGCACAATGCAAGGCAGAGAAAAGGTAGGCAATTTTTGGGTTTAGCCTATCCTTGTGATCCCATGAGCATGGCACACCCTTTGGGCTCCCCCTTTCTGTAATACCTTGCATTCAACAGGCTTTATAGACTTTATGGTATTTGGTCTCCCAAGGATGCATTATGCATTTTTGCAGGAAGGCCAAGACATACTAAAGTGATGTACCTGAGGTAATAGGAAAATAATTTAGCAGAGGAAAATAACTTCCTTCAACTCCCATTCTCATGTTGTTCCTACTACCATAGGAACCTCCTTGTCCATATGTTTCTAACCATCCTTTTGCAACAGGCGTGGGAGCCAAGTCTCACCCCCAAAACACACTGTGCACATTGACTCTAAGCCATGATAGCCCATGGCCAGATGGCAGGACCCCAATATGCAGTTATCAAGTCCTTGCAGCTTTTATGCAAGAAAAGAAACAACAGATAACAGCTATTTTCTGGGTTTGGCTCTGCTATGAAGAGAATATAGGATACACCCCTTCAGATGAGACCACTCATCCAATATCTACCTGTCCTCCAAAAGAAACTAATGGCACTTCCCATTCACTCTTATATAACATCTCTGCAGAGAATTATACACCAGTTATATTATGTGTATGCCTTGCAGAAGAACAACTTTTAGCCTTCATGAACCCCATCTTCTTTCCTGTCGCTACACAAAACTATAGGTCACTATACAAAATAATGAGAGAATCCCTACCCCCACCATCTCTCCCCTTCACACTGTGGCTGCTGCTGGCAATGGATGAAGATAAGATGCTAATGAGTCACCATCCTGACCTGCACCTTTACCTTTGAAGCTGCCATGACAGCTGCCGTGGCTGCAACGTTCAGCCCCCGCTTCCCAAAGTGCACAAGGGCATCGTAGCTCCGGTCTTTTGCCTGGATGAGGCAGTCATCGATCTCCTGTCAGGGCAGAAAACAAAACAAACAATTTAAAAAAAGCACAAGAAGGACAAGTTCAGGCTTATGCTCCCAGCCTCAAACTCTTGGCAGAGTCAGATGATATTTTGTGGAGGTAGATGTCCTCCATTTCCTCCACAGTGGCAGGAAAGAAGTTCATGGACAATATCTGCAGCGAGGAAAAGTTTGCTGGGGGGCAGTAACCTCCATTGCAGGGTTTGGGAACTCCTTATTCTACAAATGGAAGATTGGGACCTAAAGTTTGGGTTCTGGAAGCAAGAAAAATCTGCCTGAGCAACACAGACTGACAGCCATTTGCAAACCATGCACTCTAAAGACAAATGGGATTGCCTCATGGTTAAAAATAACTAGATTATGACACTGGGCAACCGAAGCTGCACTGCCCTGTGTCCAGGACAGGTGGTCTCAGAAATATCTGGGATATATCTGCACATCACAGCAGTGCACAGCTTCAGATGCCCATGGAATTGGTGGGCCCAGAGCTTCTGGACTTTGATGCTGCTCAATATACAGTGAAACAGTTAGGGAGGTTCCTTCCCTTATTCTCCCTCCCTCAGGACACCGGGGTCTGGATGATAATGACAGCAATGACTTTTAGTACTCAGCTGGTGGGTATCCTGGGTTAGCAGGGACAGAGGCTGTGAGGAGTTGCTGGCTGCTCTCCCTATTCCCTGGAGGTAAGAGGTGGCAACTCAAAATGCATGAGCCCTACTTGGGAGAAGCACAAGCAAAGGGAAGCAGACACAGGGGACGGATTCCCACTTGGACAGGACTGAGATCCAACTGCTCCTTCACTGCCTGTGGCTAAATGGAGAGCTTTCATTTCCAAGTTGCCAGTGCAGGAAACAGTTACTCACTCAGCAGTTTTCATGTTGGTCTGTGACAATAGCTGTTCTTGGCCTGTTTATTTACATAAGCCAAATGGATCTGCCTGACAGTGTCTCATTCACAGCCACAGGAATTTCCCAGGCAGGCAAATGATCCAAGCTTTAATGTCCCCCTCCCAAAATTAGCATCTTTAATTTGGGCAAGACATTTTTTAACCTAGGACCTCAACATGTTACATGTCTTTTTTTCACCACACTTCACAGTCAGGCATGTGCTTGCTAAGTCCATTTTAGACTGCCTGGGCTGTTTGTCTCATTGCTGCACAATGTTTTAGGCAGAGCTGGGAACAAAGCTGAGGAGTCCTGGCTGCCAGACCAAGTTTCTCTTATTTGTTATATCCAGCCACAACAGAGCACTCCAGCTATAATCACCCAGTACATGCAAAGCAGCTCAGGAGGTATTTTTATCCCCCTCCCTCCCAGCTTCTCAACTGCACAAAAATGAGTTCATAAGTGTGAGTGCACTGAGCAGATGCCACTATTTAAAAACTCAACAACCACAAAGAACAAAAACACCAACCAAAAGGAGGGGATCAAATGACAGAGGAAGAGAATCAGCAACTCCCAATCCTTCCATGAAAATGAATGATACAGGGACTGGAGTAAACACACCATAGTTCTGTCCCACCCAGAGAGGATCCAGGCACCTGTGATTACCTTTTCTTTTGAAGACAGTGTTGGATGAACAAATTTCCTGTACAGGAGGCTGGAGCCTTTTGTGTATGGAGACAGCAGCCAAGCTACAAAAGCTATTTTGAGTTCATAGTAGAATGGAAACCTAGAAGAAAAAGAGGGTTACTGTCTGCTCCCAGTTTAACCACTGCCCTTAATTAGAGATGCTCAGCACAGGTAGGGATTTGCCTGCCTAGCTCAAGGCAGCTTTTGCTTACTGAAAAATCTAAAGATTAAAGCGTATTGACTCAGTTTTGAACACATCTCAATGAGGCATGTGGGTGAGTCTTTACTTGGTTATCAGGACCATTATTTAATGGTCTGGAAGAGTCTCTGATGTGTGATAAGAGGAGCTTTCTATATGCAAAGATCACAGGTGCTGCCTTCACAGTATCCCCAGTCGTTGTAAGAAAGCAAAAACCAAACCACCAAACCAAGATTTCATTGATATATTTAAGCACTTTCCATCTCTCTGCCTCTCAGCTTTTAAGCTAACACTCACATGACTGAAACTGAAATACAAGAACCTTTGTTGTCCAAGCAACATAAAGGTGCAGACTCACACTGACTTTCACGCAGGGCTGCAAAATATGGAGGACATAACAACAGGACATGCTTTAGTTGTAACAAGCAGCCAGGGACATCCTGAGATTAAATTATCCAGACTCTTTTCTGGAGGACGAAGCCCAGGGCTCAAGACTGGCCACCCAGCAGCATCTTCATGTGGGCAGGCACACAACAGTGTGATGAACAATTGTTACCCTTTGCAAGCAAGAGCAGTGCAAAGACCTGTGGAGGCTATGGATCAGCCCAGCTGGACCCAGACAGGCTCCTGCTGTGCCACACAGCACTGTCACTGAGCCAGCTGGGCCAGCCAGCACCAGGTCTGACACAAAAGGCCTCTGCAATGCTCTCTGTGCCAGGTTGATCTCCCACCTCACTGAGAATCTCTACAGCACACTTGATGTCACAGGCTGGATAAGCCCTCTGCCATTTCTCCTGACAGACCCACATAATTCATCCTCCAAAAAAACCAAAGCTCCAGATGAACACAGGAGAGGTAGATCTGCATGCAAATTAGATAGACAATAATGTATTTTATCTCCTTTTCAATAGATCTGAAATGTTGCCAAGTTCTCCCGATTTCCTTTCTCTGGAGGACTCACTCAAGGCAGGCAGTGCTATGCAGGAATAGGCTGTAAGGGTCGTGCACTACAGTAAAATTTTCATCCTAAAGTCTACCAATCTCACTGGTTCCTGGTAGAAAGATGTCACTATAAAGGGCAACCAAGCAACAAACACTTTCAAACCTGAGCATCCAAAAAAACTGAATCTGATAAATAGGCATTTATGTGCTCTCATTCTGACCAAGGTCACCAGGAATCCTTCCACCGGCACCAGAGAGCCACAATAGTGTGGACTGTCACTGTCCTCCATGAAACCAGAAACCCAGCCAAACCAGAATATGTCAGGCAAAACATCCAAGGAACAATCACCCACACAGCAGCCTACAAAGTCTTGTGCTGCAGGGCTGTTTGTACCTGATCCACAGTCTGTGTATTTACTGTAGGATACAGCCAGGCAAGTCTAAAACTGCCTGTAGCTAAATCAACTGTTATTTATGTGATGACCTCTGCAAGCATCCAACTGGGCAGTCAGCTGTGCCTCTCTGACAAGCAGGGCCTGAGAGTCTAGTAATGATTTCCCACTAATGAGATACCACTGAGCCTTTCCACTTCTTTCTTGTTTTTCCTGTGGCAGCACTGAGAAAGGAAGCATATCTCCCGCAGACAAAAGCCCTCTATGCACTTGAAGCTGCTGAACCCCCGTACAGGAGTCAGTGCACCTTTGTGTGCCTTTTTTTCCCCTGGTAAACATTTCTATTTTCTTTTCATCTCATGCCAAAGAGCCTCTCCCCTCTGGTGCTTACCAGCAAAGAAAGATATCCGTGAATGTCTCTGCTGTCGTGAAGAGTGCGAATATGATCCAGTACATCATCCATTTGACCTGGTAAACAAAAACAGTCTCAAACTATCTCTTACAGACACAAGTGCACAGAATAACTCTCACAGGAAAATAAATTCTTACCCCCTCACCCTCCCCACTGTGTATTTAGCAATTATTGTGGACTTGAAGGTGCCAGTTTGCCCCACTTCAGCACATAACATGTCACATTGGCACAGCCCTTGGGGAGGTGACTGTGGCCTTTAGGAACTGGTCTCAGGAAAAGAAGAGCAGCCTGACTCTGTCCTTACAAAAACTCCACTAGCCAGTAGAGCATGACAGCCCTATCACAGGGCATTAAAAATCTCACTTGGCTTGTGCCAATAGCAGATGTTAAAATAAGGTTGTTGGCCAAACTCCAGTTAAGACAAAATGTAATTACTTACATAATACCTACAGCCAGGAAAAGGTAAAGAGGTAACTGCCCATCCTGTAATCCAGGGTTCAGGAGCACAATCAACTCACCACAATTTACTGACTCAGTGGGCAGCCCTGGAGTGGCTGTGCCTGCTGCCACCCACACCCAGTGCAGTGACAAAGGCAAGGGCAATAGTTTAAATCCCTTTCCTGGGCCTTAGGGGGAGTTTTTTACCTCACACTGGTAGTGAGAGCATGTGCTGTGCTGTCTCTGTTCAACTGGGGAAACTCCACTGTCATGGATGATGGTTTCCTTTCGGTAACAGCAAGAGAGCCTTTGGGGATGGTGACTTGGTCAGATAAACTGTAGTACCTCAAGTAATTAAGGAATTCGGAAATTTTTGTCACTGAGCACTAAATGGCATCTAAAAGCACAGCTCAACTATTTTGAACTATGTAGAATTGGTTCTTCTTAAGATGGAAAAAGATGGTGACACAAAGGTTGTTAATTCAACTGACAACTGTTGTTTAATTAGGTGTATTTGAAAATGGAGATCCCTAAGCAGCTTTGCTGGAATGTCAGAAAGCTTAAGGAAGTAAAACCCATGAAAATCCATGAATTAGAGAATTGGACTGTGTTAGCTAAGGTTGGTACAATTACAGTAGACTAAGAAAAGGTTGAAGGGAAGACAGTACAAGAGGGATACCTACACCAGGCATTGTTCTGGGAAATGGAAGATAGAGATATCAATAAATCTGGATCTCACAAGCTTGGAAAGGCACCCCCATCTTCTCCCCAATACAGTGGGACACTACTGATAGTCTCCATCTCCCTCTAGGTACTGGAATTATTCCCTGAGCACCTGTCACTCTGCTATATAACTGCCCTCCTGGGATTTATATTTATGTGCATATTTATACCTATATATAGTGTTACAGCAATAATGGCACTGCCAAATGCCTGAGAGCATCATCTTCCCAGTGCAGCTTCTGCCAGACTTTTTATGTAACTGTGACTCCTCAGAGCCTCAGTGCCAACATGGCTCTCTCAGTTAGACATTACTGCCAGCAAAACTTTTAAACACAAACCAAGACCTGGGGTGGATGGGCTTGGATCAGCCTAAAACATTCATCAAAATTACTATTACCAAGCAGAATAAAATTACTTTAGAGTGATACAAGTTTTGATTAATAAGTGAAAGTTCCTTCTGTGTCAGTGTAAATTATGACTTCTTTTTTTTTTTTTTTTTTAATCAGGCCTTAATGGATACATTGCCAGAACTGCTATAAAATCAATTGTAAGGGCAGACCAGGTCTTAGATCAGCTGTTCTCACATTTGCGTCACAACCACAAGTGTCTGATGTGAGTTCCTCTTGCACAATTAAATTTCCAACAGGAATTGGGCCCTTCAACAAAATACCTTCCAGAAAGGGACTATGGAAACATGAAGTACCAGTGGCAGACACTGCTTGGAGACACTTGTGCACATCTTCAGCATTTTCATGCAAAGAGGCCCTGAGAAGCACAGCTGTGCAGGGGCTGCAGAGACGTTTTACCTTAAGGATCTGCTGTGTTCTGTAACACTTATGATTCTCAAAATACCCCAAACCATTTTCTGAAAGGGGAACATTATAAACAAAACTCTTAGCAATCACAGTGAGTCCCAGATTGAGTTTGCACTAAAGATTTAATGGGATAGACATCTATGCTGCTATCCAGATGAGAAAATGGGCTTGTTATCCCTGGGATCTTGAGAGGATTGAAGAGTCAAGATCTGGAGGCTGAGCTGGGTTCAATGAAATTAAAAGAGCTCAGGTTGTGAAGGGCACTACAAATCCTACAGGACCCCAATAGCATCCAAGTGCTTTTGATTCTCCCTCATTTCACTTTCCCTAATGGCCCCATATGCCTTTAGAAACCAGGTTCCAGGGAAGATTTTTCAGCAAAAAGAAAAAAAGAGAGCACACCCAGCTGCCAGACCTGCCTGTAAATAGGTCGCTCTGCAAGGAAGGATGTTTCTGTCTGAGGATTCAGTCATATGTACTTCAAGTTGCCTCCTCTTATCCTTGTTTTGAATGAGCAGTTAAAGCTTCAAGGCTTTTTGAAAAGGCTTTGATTTATGCTGCTCTTCAGAAACAAAGAAGAGCACACAAAGCTCTGGATGCCAAATGCCTTTTAAGTCGACTGTGTATCTCACCACCAGAGGAACAGCACACATTTGTCAGGAGGAGCACATCAGCTCTGCACTGGAGCCAGAAGCACAAACCCAAATCTCATTTGTGCCCAACAATCAACCAGTCCAATCCTTCAGGCCAGTCTGCCCCTGCCCCCTGTTTTATGAGCTTTCCCAGAATACAGGCAACACCTTTCCAAGGTGGTGAGGAGCAATCTTAGAAAACAACCCCCCAGCACAACCACAAACCTCATTACTCACATATTCTTTGATGTCCTTTGATTTCACGGCTTTGTAAGAATAATATGCGGGGTAAAGTGTGCCAAATATAAGCCTGGAAAAAACAAACAAACAATAAGCAGATTAAATTGATTTCCTGTCACAGGGAAATATTTTTTCCCCTGTGTTTTAAATGTGGTTTTTGCAATGGTAAAAAGTGTTAGGATTTTATTTAAGCTTGAGTGCACTAAGTATAGTACAGGAGAGATTTTGCATCACTGAATTCAGAGCAGCTATTGCCAGTGACTTGAATGAAGAGCAGAGATTCAGGCTGATTTTCCTTTTGCAATTGTTTCCAAAGCTGTACCTTATGAGCTACACACAAAACAAAATAACCACACCAAACAATAAAGGTCACCACCACACTTTCAAAAGGAAATTAAAAATCTGATCTTGAAACAATCTAGTGCAACACCAGGAAAATGGGAGTATTGCTTTCAGAGAGAGAATTATTTGTCTAAAATCCCTTCCACCTCTATTCAGTACTCTGAAAAGCTGGCTGATGATAAAGCAGAATCCAAGTTCTACTGGTACAAGGGTTTGGGTGCCTTATCCTACATTAAACCTGGTATAGGGTAGAACCCTGCACTGTTCAGTTAATTTGGGCTCATGAAAGGAGGAAGAATCTGCCCACCAAGATATACCAACATACAGGCCTAAAAATCCCAGCTCTGCTGTTCTTTCAGACACCTTCCTTTCATTTTTCAAGTCTGAAAGGGATGCTGTCAGCTTCAGATTTCATATAAGAAAGAAACAAGAATCTGTAAGTTAAAAATAGCACTACTGAGAAAAAAACGTGGAGAATTTTTTATACTAGGTTCTCTCTGCATCACTGCCTACACACTCGCTCACTTGGATTATTCTGGACATAAGCATAGGCTTGTCAAAACCACTTTGCCCTGCCCAGGTTTCAGTCAGTTTTATTCAATGCAGGAGGATGATGCTGCAAAGTCTAAATTTAATAGATTGCAGGGTAATGCTTATTGGCTTGCAACTCCCCATCTTTCGCTTTTGCTTTAAATTCATACAACTGTTTCCTCTGCTCCAGGGAGTGAAAATGATCAATGTTTCAACCCCTAATTGTGGAGCCACACGGAACTGCAGTCATTTTTTTCCACCCTGCCAGCAGTGACTGTGTGCCGTGGGACTCGTAATTACAGTCAAGTCCATTACGTGCATAAGACATTAAAAATTAACACTCTGGGATATGGTGCACCATCATACTTCCCGGAGCTCAGGGAGGTATTTATGAAAGAATGGGGTGAGCCAGCACACATCTTGATTTCCAAAGCAGTGACCAAAGGCAATTTGCCTGCTATTCATCATGCTCACTGTAGCATGGCTTAGCAGAACCTGAAGCACAATGCAGACTTCAGAAAAGCAGCTACTGAGTGAGGAGGTCCAACATTTTACAGAGCCTTCACACTGGCTTCAAAAAGCTTTTCTGGAAACAGTCAGCTCCAAACCAATTTCACTCAGAGGGGCTTGTGCTGTCTACAAGGATCATATACAAACACTCAGATTCTGGAAAACCAGAAGTGTGTTTTGTCCCTTGCAGTATCCCACCAAACAGCAACATGGATTAAGGCAAGGACAAACACACAGACAGTGGCTTGATCCTGTTCTCACTGAGGCCAATAACAAATATTCCGAGTTCAGTGGTAGCAGGACCTAATCCAAAGAAAGTAGAGTTTGCAAAAGGAAGAAAGCTACATTATTCAGAAAATAACAGCTGAGCACATGAAAAATATTTTGGCTCTCCTTATAAAAAGCACTGCAATGCTGTTCTTCCTTCTTGGCCTAGGCTGGCTGCTATCTCACACTTTTATTTCCTGCAAATAATCACTGTGTGATTGATATTCATTTCCTCAGTTTGTGCTGGTAACAGAAAGTCACTGGATCCTGAAGAAGCAAGTGGTTTATAGGAATATCAGAAAATAATTAGTCGCAGACAATATATAAATTTAAAAAATCCTGTGAGGGAAGGAAATTGCAATAATTTTGCGTGTGCAGAGCAAGGGACGGTTAATAGGGTGATGTGATCTCCCTAAACTGGAGATTGAAAGTTTCACTGATTTGCCTTGCAGTGTGTCGTGTGCATATATGGACATTTATTACTGCTGTGGTTTACTAGACTGAAAACTGTTTTAAGGAATGTTGGAAGCCAGTCTTGCCACTGCTGTGGCTTACTTAAGTGGCTTGGGGTCACTTAAGCTCTGGGCACACTCTACAAATGGAAGACAAAAGATGTTTGGGCATTTCTGTAAAGCATATTCAGGGTTTTTAAGACAAATATTTGCATATAGGGATATTCCAAAAGGTCTCTTGAAGTTACTGTCTTCACTTGGCTTTGAATCAGGGTTGAGTACAATTGATTTAATTCAAACACACACATTAATCCTCCATCTCTTCCTTCAGTTCCTTACTCTGCTGAAGACAATAATTCTCACTTCCCCTTCATCCAAGCTTCCTGCATAATTAAAGTTATTGTTGATTCCTGCCTTCCTTCATCTCCATGCTCAGACTGTTGCCAAATCACTCCTTCTGCACGCTACACACAAACCTGAGGCTGATCCTTTGTCCCCGCTTTGTCCCTTGAAAGCCATAAAATCTTTCCTTGTCCAAGTCTCCTTTCCACCTCCTTTGTGTGGTCTCTACCCCACCTGGATGCACCACTGTTTAAACCTCTCTCCCTGTTCCTGCCACCCCCACTACCAGCCTAACAACCTGAAGTAAATTATCTTTGCTTCCCATGCCTGAAAAACGTTGCTCCTAACCACTGTTAGTTTGCTCTTTTATCACATCCTACATTGGTCCCTTCTCTCCTCTAATGACTGCAGTGCCACCACCCTCTTCCTCTGCTGTTCCCTGCATGTATTCTCCCACACCCTGGAGCTCCTGTGCTCCTTGCTCCCCCACTGCACATCATTCCATTGCCTCCAAAACAAGCTGTTCCGTGGCAGTCATCCTGACAGCCCCCAGACTGAGACACAGCAGCCCAAGCCACTCCAATTCCAACCAGATCATTCCCCAGTCCTCCTCATCTCTACATTCTTCTTCTGCAACACTTCTATTGTTATCTGAACCAGATCACAGGACCTTCAGCTTTCTTCCCACATCCCCAAAATCACAGGACTGTCCCTCAGTTCCCTCCCACAGCTGACAGCTGGCCTGGGACTCAGATGTGCTGTGACTCTTTCTGTGTTACAGGCACTGTCTGTCTGTCTGTCTGGTGTTAGCCAGCCAAATTAATGACCTGCCTATGGAGTCAGCACTGCAGCTTTTACCTCCTGGTAGACAGTGCTATAAAACAATCTCCTATCCAGCAGCTAATTCTTAGGAATAATGTAGGAAATTTATATTTGAGACCTCTCTGACCCATCTATTTCGGCCACAATCACTTTGCAGATCCAAAAGTTTTGCTGCAGTGGAAAAACAGACAACTTAAGTCTCATTTCCTTAGGAAACCAGAGTCAACCCACTCCCCACCCATTTCCATCTTTCAAAGCTTCTTTGAACGAGCTGTGTACCCAGGAAAGCCTTGGCCCTTTTACCTTCTGTGCAGAAGCAGATATCCTGATCATCAAATCTCCCAGAGCCTGATGTAGAGTAGTTGCTACATTTAAAGCTACAGAAATGTTCTGTAGTCTGGGCTAAAGCAAGCACACAATGTCAGGGTAAAGAGAGAGGCAAGGAAGTGGTAACATCCATCAGTGAGTTAGGAAAAGCTCACTTGCAGCACTAAACAAATAACCACAACAGCCTGACAGTTCTCACACTGCTCTGTGCTAGAGGTCTACACCACTTACAATCACCTTGAAAAAGGACAAAACAGCAGCTGTAAAGAAATCACTGAAGAGTCGAATAATTGTGCAACAGGAGGCAAAAATCTAAGTAAAAGGTTAGTCTGCCTAAAGAATAGGATAAGGATTAATGCTGAAAATCCTGTAATCCTATTAGGCACCTCAGCAGCAGCAATCCCCTGTCTGGATCATTACATGTGCTTCCGGTCATCCTTTGTCAAAAGGGAGACACAAAGGCAGGAGGGGAAAGAAAAAGACAGGGAAAGTGGAAGTGCACTGGGGAGGATCCATAAGAGGGACTGTAAAGGCTGCAATTGTTTCTTTTGCAACAAAGACAAATAAGGTTAAATGAGGTTATTTACTCCTCCTGATGAAGTGTAAGGGAATGCTCAACTCAATAAAGAGAACCAAGGCAAAAGGAGGGGAGAAACCCCCTGTATCACCTCATGAGATATTATGTGGAGGTATTATGTGGGATGGATGAACTGTATTTATTAATATAATTACATTATGTAGGAGTTGGGGGTTGGGTTTCATTATTCTAGTTTACCATTAAATGACAGGAAAGGATGAAGCTTCCCATATTGTGGGGTTTCCTGATTGTCAGGGGAATAGTAAAGCAATTGAACTGCTGGCTCCTCTTTAGCAAACCCTGTCATATTCCAGGGAAGCAGCTGCATCACCACCAAAACTCCTTCTGTCTCCACTTACCAGGACAGCTACAGTCAGACATGACTATTATACCCTTCTGTTCCTTCTCTGGATCTGCTGGAGCAGTGATCTGACCATCAGAGAGCACAGACTATCACAGATGTGACAGCATCCCTGACAGAATCTAGGCTACAGCCTGGGGAACAGCCTCAGAGCTGCTACCATGACCTGGGAGGGTCCCACAGGACATCTTGAGTTCTGATTTGGTGATGCTGCTTTCCTCATGGAAAAGTCATTTACCCACAAAATTAACTCTCACGCTCCATAAAGTAGCCACTGAAATAAATGGGAAGGCTCTTAGTGATTCTTAGGAGTTCTTGCCTGGACTCAGGTTACCTCCAGAAATGCCTGCACATCCAATCCCTTGAGCATTTTTAACCACAGGGGTATTTTCTGCGTGGTAACCTGCTGTTACAAATATACCAGCACAGCCTGTCTACATCCCAAGCCATCCAAGTTTTGCTCCTCTAGTTACCATGCCACCAGCACTGTTTGGGCTGCCCAAACACTTAGAACATTTTACTACAACAACACAAATAGA